GCACTGTCGGAGGGTCAGCGCTGAGGGAGCGCCGCACTGAAGAAGGGTCAGTCCTGAGTGAGTGCCGCACTGTCGGAGTGTCAGTGCTGAGTGAGTGCCGCACTGTCGGAGGGTCAGTGCTGAGGGAGCGCCGCACGAACTGGATCTCCTCCCTGACCAGAGGAGTGAAACTGGTTTCTCTCCCTCGACCCTATCAAATGCTGTCATTATCTCAAACCCCTTGATTAGACCCTGTGCCTCATCAGCCCTAAGCATTCCCCGTGCTCTCCCTGGTCAATCTGCACCATTAAGATGCTGCCTCAGTTCATTGCTCAGTCTTGGGTGTACATCTATCACTGAACACAAGGGGTCAATGCACAGCCCATGTGCGCTCAACCAGAGGGGCAACAGAATTGCTCAGTGAGAGCCATTCCATTGCATTCATAGAATCCCTACAGTGTGGAAACAGGCCCTTCAGCCCAACAAGTCCACACCCACCCTTGGAGCATCCCACCCAGACCCATCCCCCTATAACCCACCTAATCTACACCTCCCTGATCACTATGGGCAATTTAGCATGGCCAATCCACCCTAACCTGCATATCTTTGGACTGTGGGAGGAAACCAGAGCTAACGCACGCAGACACGGGGAGAACGTGCAAACTCCTCACAGACGGTTGCCCGAGGCTGGAATCAAACCTGGGTCCCTGGTGCTGTGAGACAGCAGTGCTAACCACTGTGCCACCGTGCCGCCTCATATCCATGGAGTTGGGAGGGGATGTTCAGCCCTCTCAGGAGCAGTCTGCAAACTGCCAGGAGAGTCACAAGAGAGTTTGGGTCCCTCCATGCCTGTCACAGCCTTGTGTCACATTTCCCGCTGTATGACACACTCCAGATTTCCCAGATGTCTCTCGTTCCAGAAGCCAGTGTCTTCCCTTTAAGTTCTGAAGTTTACCCTGTCCTTATATTTATCCAGTAATGTCCCCTCACTCCCTCCTAACCTAACTTCCTCCTCCTCAGGCTGCTCCATCACCCTCCCCCAATATCCCCAAACCCCAATCCTTCTCACTCAATTTCTCCCCACTCGCCCTGCTCCCCCGTTGCTCTCCAGCACTGCTCACTCCACTGCCCTCTCCTCACTCTGCACCCCTTCCTCACCACTCTCTTTCTTCCCTCGCTCCATCCCCGTACCTCAATACCTCAATTATACCACACTTCCTCACCCCACATCCTCGTCCCCCAACCCAAGTCTCCTCAGCGTACTTCCCTACTCTGAACCACTGCTCCTCATCCTGCTCACCACTCCACCTCCTCACCTACTTCCTTCCTCCACTCCTCCCCTCAATCCTTCCTCTCCCTGCACCCGCTCTTCACCACCCTTCCTCACCTACCTCCTCGCACTGCTCCTCCCGTCACCTACTTCCCGCTCCTTGCCCCAACTAACTTCCCCCCCTCGCCTCAGTCCTTTCTCACCCCCCTTTCCCCACTCCTGGTCACCCCACTCACCCTCCAAACCCGTCCTTAACCCATCCTCACCCCACTAGACCTCCTCCCGTCCTCCTCCTCCTCCTCCACCATCCAACACACCCCTCCCCTTGCCCCTACCCCACACCTCCAGGAGCTCACTCACCGTGAACCACCAACACGTATTGGTCGGCTGAGCTGCCGAGTTCGTTCACAGCCTCGCAGAGGTAAGTGCCGTTATCGAGGGAGCTGAGAGCTGGCAGGATCAGACGGTTGGCCTGCTGTTCTGTGCGTCTTGGTAGAGTGTCGTTCAGGCGGCTCCATGTCACTTCGGTGGGTCTGAGCAAAGGCCAAGAACAAACGACGGGTTAAACATGGTCTCAGCATCGCAGAATTTGACCCGCAGGAGGCCATTCAGCCCATCCAGCCCTTCCCCCCACAGTCACAGTTACCTCCGCTCTGCCAAACCCCTGCCCCTTCTTTCCCCTTTCACCTCAAACCTATGCCCCTCTAGTTTTGGACTCCCTCAACCTGTCCATGCCCCTCATGATTTTATAAACCTCTATAAGGTCCCCCCCTGCTTTGAGACTCAAACCCCTGCAACATCCTCCCAGTGTCTCTCCTATTCCCGTCCGGGTGAAGGTTCCTGTTGAAACTTCCTTTCAGGCAGCACGTCCCAGATCACAACAACAACAGGTTGCATCAAAAAACAAATTCCTCCTCCCACCCCCCCCCACTCACTTCTCTGGGTCTTTTCCAACCCCTGTCCCTCTGGTGACTGACCCTCCAGCCCCTGGGATCAATGTCTTCCTCATTGAATTGATCGAAACCACTCCCACCCCCTCCCCCAACCCAAGGTGATTCCAAATACCCCCATTCAATCTCCCCCTTAACCAAAGGGGGTGGCCATGGGTACCCGCATGGGCCCAAGCTACGCCTGCCTCTTTGTAGGTTACGTGGAACAATCCCTCTTCCGTACCTACACCGGCCCTAAACCCCACCTCTTCCTCTGTTATATTGATGACTGTATCGGCGCCGCCTCGTGCTCCCACGAGGAGCTCGAACAGTTCATACACTTCACCAACACCTTCCACCCCAACCTTAAGTTCACCTGGACCATCTCTAATACCTCTCTCTCCTTCCTGGACCTCTCTGTCTCCATCTCGGGCAACCACCTAGAAACCGATATCCATTTCAACCCCACCGACTCCTACAGCTACCTAGAATACACCTCCTCCCGCCCACCTTCCTGCAAAAATGCCATCCCCTATTCCCAATTCCTTTGCTTCTGCTGCATCTGCTCCCAGGATGAGGCATTCCACTCCCATCCATCTCAGTTGTCCTCGTTTTTCAAGGACCGCAACTTCCCCCCCTCAGTGGTCGAGAACGCCCTCAACCGTGTCTCCCACATTTCCCGCAACTCATCCCTCACACCCCGTCCCCTCAATAAGAACCAAAAAAGAATCCCCCTCGTCCTCACGTACCACCCCACCAACCTCCGGATCCAACGCATCATCCTCCGACACTTCCGCCATCTGCAATCCGACCCCACCACCAAAGACATCTTTCCCTCCCCACCCTTATCTGCTTTCCGCAGGGACCACTCTCTCCGTGACTCCTTTGTCCGGTCCACACTCCCCTCCAGCCCCACCACACCTGGCACTTTT